AAGTAAAGGGGTTATTCTCAATTTTGACATCAAGAAGGCCTACGATTAGAAAAGATTGTGTTAGAAATGGAAAGGAGGATTAGAAAAATTTTGTGGTGGTTTGGGGATTGAGAAGATGAAAAGGAAGAATGAAGCTTTATTTATTAAATGGTTATGGATATTCCCGAGTGAAGCAAGTTTGCCATAATGTAGTGGCAAGAATTTATAGAAAAGAGCACTTTGGATGGTTCACAAAGAGAGTAGGAAATTAAAAAAGCCTTTCGTGAACGTTGTGAAGTTCAGAGCTACTTATGAATGATTGTCTCCGATAAGGATGGAAAGAACAAGCATGGCGATTCCTCTTTGGGCCCACTCTCTTTGAATATTCTTCGACCTGTGCTTCAGAAATTTCTTTGCAAATAAGGTCCTGCACCTGCTTACCACATCTGAAACACATCTGAGTCGGGGCTTCTATGGGTTTGTTCTACCTCGTGATTCCAGATTATCCTAGGTTCTTATGCCTTTAGTATGCTACCTATACTTTGCGGATTTAGAGAAGCACAACCACATTTTCTTTGAATGTTCCTATGCTACTTGTTGGTTTGGGTTGTTCCAGATCTTTAAATTGCTTTGGGTCTTTTCACAAGACTCAAGAAGGAATATTCTTCCCTTATTATTGGACCTTCCTTGGCAACGTGACCATTTTTGTAACTGCGCAATGCGGTTAAAGCTATTTTTTTCTAAAATTTGGATGGAAAGGAATCAAGGAGTTTTTGACATTGGCTTGAGTGTGTTGAAGTGGTCAGATTGAAAGATTGAAAGCTTTTCAATGGTGTGCTCTTTCCCAACTTCTCCTGATTTTTTATTACAAGATATTTGTATGAATTGGAAGATATTTATAACTCCCTCTTATCGTTCTTAATCCTGGCTTTGTTGTTTCTTTTATTTCCTCTGAGAATTCTGTACTTTTGTCCTTTTATTGCTCTTTCTATATCAATGAAATTTCTTGTTTCCTGTAATAATAATAATAAAGAAAAAAAAAGATTGGAGTAAGTGTTCTGTTGAGATTCTGTAAAGATGAAGTACAATATTATATTCTAGAGTGGACAAAAGAAAATCATGTAGACATTCAAGAACTGATGTTTTGGTATTATGACAGACTTATCTTCAATCTCTAACTATAAGGCTTGAGGAAATGAGGGTGAAAAGGCGAGATTCTGAGCAGTGGATGCATCACCGCTTGCTGCCGCAGGAACTTCGGGAGAGGGTCCGACGTTATGATCAGTACAAGTGGTTGGAGACGCGTGGGGTGGATGAACAGAGTTTGGTACAAACTCTACCGAAGGATCTTAGAAGAGATATTAAGCGCCATCTTTGTCTGGCTTTAGTAAGGAGGGTAAGGTTATTGCTTTGGCTCCTTTTCTATTTCATTCTCCTCATTATTTAGGCACTCGTAAATTTTTACACTAAATATGAACATTCTCACAATATCTGCCAACATTTGGCACAAATTCAAAGGGTGGGACTAATTCTTTTGACAAATTCCATATGAGAGTTGATGATAACTTGTTCAAAAATTGTAGGTTTTGGCTTGTAAGTTACTTTCATCCTATGATTTGTTCTGCCCTTTGTACTTTACTAAACTCATTTTCTCTGATGATTTAGGTTCCTCTGTTTGAAAGCATGGATGAGAGGCTGCTCGATGCTATCTGTGAGCGGTTGAAACCGTGTTTGTTTACGGAGTACACTTACATTGTCCGTGAAGGTGATCCAGTTGATGAGATGCTTTTCATTATACGTGGTCGGCTTGAGAGTGTGACTACAGATGGTGGGCGGAGTGGATTTTTCAACCGTACCTTCCTAAAAGAAGGCGACTTTTGTGGTGAAGAGCTTTTGACCTGGGCTCTGGATCCGAAATCTGGTTCGAACCTTCCTTCCTCTACACGGACAGTAAAGGCTATTACAGAGGTCGAGGCTTTCGCCCTCGTTGCTGAAGAGTTGAAATTCGTGGCCAGTCAGTTCAGGCGTCTTCACAGTAGGCAGGTGCAACATACCTTCCGATTCTACTCGCAGCAGTGGAGGACCTGGGCTGCTTGCTTCATCCAAGCAGCATGGCGTCGGTATTCCAAGAGAAAGTCTATGGAACTTCGTCAAAAGGAAGAAGCTGCAGCGGAAGAATCCGAGGGATCTCAAACTGCCACGAGCGGAGGCTCTTATAGCATTCGTGCAACTTTCTTAGCTTCCAAGTTTGCTGCAAATGCTCTCCGGGGCGTTCAGCGATATCGCAACGCCAAGAGTGCTCAGGAGTTGATAAAATTGCAGAAGCCTCCAGAGCCAGATTTTAGCGCTGATGATGCAGATTGATGCATTATGTATTGCGACAAAAATTGAAGGCATATTATATGACTCATGGTGTTTATTTTGAAATTGAATAGAGGGCTAAAACTAATGTATTATAAATGTGTTTTTAGTTTGTAATTTGTAAAAAACGTTCCTGAAATCAATGCTGAATATGTATTTGTGTTTGTTTTTCTCAGCTTTGGAATCTAATGGTCACGCATTTTCTGACCCCATTCTTTCAAGGGGTCAAAATAGGACCATTAAAAAAATTTGTTATTTTAAAAACTTCAATAGATTATAAAAAAAATTAAAAAAATACGCTTTATCTTTTTTTTTTTTTATTCGAACTCAGGATTTTGACTGGACGTAGGTGCCTTAACCAGTTGAGTTAAGTTCATGTGATATATACTCTAGTTTTGTGTTAAATATGAATATCTCACTAAGGACGTGTTGGATATCCAATCTAGATTTCATTGTTTTCAAATTTATCAAGTGTGTCGTCAATGGATTTAATGAATATCTGCTTGATAAATTTGTTTGAGATTTTGTGATGTGAATAATGAAATTTTTATATTCTCAATGCCTTTAAGAATTGAAATTTCAAAATTTAGAATATATTAAAAAGGATAAAATTTTTTAAAAATATATTATTTCATGTTATACCACATTCTATTTTGTTAAAACAAATATAATGTAAAACTTATATTATATTGTAAAATAATAATTCTATAAAATTTATAATAAGTATGTTAATAAATTGTTAATATTATTTCAAATTGAACTAAATATTTAGTCGATGAACTTGCTTTCAAATATATTACTAATAATTTTTCTAAAGATTTCTGCTTTTAGAATATCACCAAAATGCATCAAATTTCTTAAAAGAAAATTTGTAACTTTGATGCTTTACCACATTGATGGTCAATATTTGTCTCTTTCTTCTCCAATTTTTTTATACAAGACATAAAAGCATTTTTCTTCTTTAAAAAAGTTACTTTTTCTTTTCTTATCTAGCTTTTTCTCACTCCTTGTCTCTCTTTTTCTCTAAATGTCTTGATGTTTTTTTTTTTCTTTTCATCCGTCTTATGTTTTGATTTCTAAATAGAATTAGAATAAATACTCAGCTCTAAATAGATATTTGATATTCTCTCTTTTGATTATTCTTCCTTTAAGAAAAAGTTAAAATATTATTTTGTTCCCCGAATCTTTCGACTATGATTCATTACACATTCATTTTGGTCATTTTAGTATATGTACTTTCAAAACATCCGATAATTTTAAATTGCATCACTTCTTAAAATATATTTATAAGAGCCATTAGAAATTAAAATTCCAGAGCCGTCGACAACACATCTAAAAATTAAGAATCTCTCCTTTTAAATTCTAAAAAGAATGAGAATATATACTCAAAACTCAAAAAGATTTTGCTGTTTCTTCTCTTCTAATCATCTTTCTTCCTTTTAGAACAAAATATCTTAAATTAAGAGAGAATTTAGAAGTGGGTTCTGACTTTGAACCAGTACAATTTTGTAAGAATTATTAGAAGTTAAAATTCCTTTGAAGGTGAATAGTCGATTTTGTGCATTAATCGAACATAATTTAAGAAAAACTTGATTTTTATTAAATTAACGACTTTTTTCTTGAGAGTTTTTTATATCGTTTTTTGTTTAAAGTAACGGGTGAATTAGTAGAAATCAATAGAGGGTAAAAATTGTAAGACATATCTAAATTTAAGGTTCAATTTCTTAAGCAAAGAAGCCAGACTCTTCTTTTGTTAAAATACATACAAAAATAGTTATCTATTTATTTTCAGGAGGTTACAAATGACTCGAAGATTTCAACTTTGGAAATCGGACACTTCCTCGGCCCAGCATGTTGAGACCGGAGCGTGACTAGGGAGCAAGCTCTTAAAAACTCCCATTTTCTCGTTGGGGTTCTTAGGAGCTTCCTRTTCATCCGCCACGTTGATTTTTCCTTCTTTTATGAAATCTTGGATAGATACGTTGAATGATATCATATTTTTAATCAAAATGTTTCTTTTAATGAATTAGTTGGGATGAATTTTAAAAATTTAACAATTAAGCCCTTGATCTTGAAATATATAACCGATCATTCATATTGATATCATTGTCTAAAACTTTGGGGCTTGATTGTTAAACAAAATTTATGTAGACTGTTTTATTTGGATTATTTTCCTCTATTTATGAAGTTCTGTAGACAAAAAAAAAAGTTATATATTATTTTTTTTTCAGTTCAAACTTTATTCATGTGAGCAAACTGACTCTTACCCCAGTAAAAAAACTTGTCTCTATTTCCTTTTATGGATTCCAAGGATGAATCATGAAATAATAAATTAATTTTTTTTAGTACAACTGTGAAGTGGGGATTAACTGTCCAACTTTTAGCAAAGGAGCAAAGCTATATTATATTCATGTTGATGTAAATTAATGTTAAAATACCGCAACGGTAATACATAGGTCAAATGCATTTTTTCATGTTAGGATATGTATTTGCTTTCTGGTCCTAGAATACCAAAATTATGTTCCAGTCTATCTTCACTTGCATAACTATCTTCCTATAACTTGTTACCATCAAAAAGCCTCGTAAAAGTTGGTCGTTTTGCCTCGACCGAAATTTTTCCAAAGGAACTCCAAAACCACTCTTATATCCTCCACCAGAAATGTAGAAAGCAAGGCACACAACTCAAGATGAGAAAAAGAATCACAACAGAGTAAAAAGGAAAGTAAAACTTTGGATACTAGTTTGTAAATCATATGAAACATCCACCAATCCAGCTAAAGGATCAAGATCACCACTAAAAGCATCAAAACAACCGATGCTTCACACAAGTTTTATTTAGATTGATCTCACAATGCTGGCAACCCATGAGAACTCTTAGCATCCACACCTTAGAGCCGTTGATATAAGTCGAGGTCTCACTCTACCACCCTTTGATTGCTTAAGAAGCGTTCTTCAAAACCCACTCGACTAGTGTGGCGACACCGAACCCCGTTGCAGTGCGCTTCTTGTCGTTGAAGACGGGGCCAGCCACGTCAATGTGCATCCATTGGACCTTCTCATCAACAAACTACAGAAACATATATCCGAATATAAGTTATCTAAAGGATAATCTAATCTTCAGTTGCATAGTAGGTTTCTAAAGCTATAGTTAAGACATTATTTGGTTGGTAAACACAAGAAGAAATGAAAGGTCAACCAGATGATCAAATTTTTCCCTTTCAGGAAGTTCAACAAAGAAGATGATATCTACCTGTTTCAGAAACAGAGCAGCTGTAATAGCACCACCCGGTCGACCGCCTGTGTTGACCATATCAGCCACACTCGACTTCATTGACTCCCAATAACTATCCTCCAATGGCATCCTCCAAAATTTCTCACCACTGGTTTCTGAAGCAGCAAATACCTCTTTTGCCAGGTCATCACTGGGCGTGAAGACACCTGAAAACAAAAGGGCGTTCCATTTGACCGATATACACATTTATGTTTTGTGAACAACACGACCATATATATCGTTGACTAAATAATCAACCTTCTAAAGAAGTGGTAATATTACATCTTAAATCAAATGTTTTCAGTGTGACAGTTTGACTCCTTAATTTCCATAGAATTTTGTAACTGTCTAATTCTTTTGTTATTTAATAGAAGACTCTTCTGTAGTCTCCAATTCTAAATCCGGGGTCTCGATAGAGCGAGAGGAAAAAGAAAAGGTTTGACAACGGAAGTGTCTCCAATCCAACCATTGAGCTTTTTGTTTCCCCACAATGTTGGAGTATTCAGAACTCACAAGAAACCCAATGTCATGTTCTGATCTTCAGATTGAATACAAATTATAAAGCATAAGATGCTCTGAAGGTTATCGTACCTGCAATTGAAGGCCCGAGAGCAACTATACAAGCACCAGTTAGAGTAGCTAAGTCAATTACCTGCAAAGCAATTTAATGTTATTAGAAGATAAATAACCACTTTCCAAAACTATTAGTAATGCCATTATCTGGTTATTGTGTGATGCCAAGAAATGAAACACAATTTCATCTTACTTATACATTATCAGGTAACTGATAAATGATCATGCACGTGTTCTAACCGACTCAAACCCGATATCACATTTATGATTTTCTAACGATACAAACTACTTGGAAAAAGGCAAATTCACTCTTTATTATTTTTAGAACTACAGATATTTGATCAACTGATACACAATTATTCACTATGACAACCTGCAATATGATAATGCATTCTCCCTTGCCTAAACACAAGGAGTGAGGTCCCATGTCAGATTAATCTATTAATTAGATGGGTTAAATTACAAGTTTAGTCTATGAATTAAGTGTATGTCTAATAGGTCCCTAAACTTTAAAAGTGTTTAATAAGTTCCTAAACTTTCAGCTTTGCATCTAATAAGTCTCTGACATATTCAACATTTTTTTAAATTAACGAATCTATTAAACATGAAATTTTGTATCTAATATAATCCTAAACTTTTAATCTCATATCAAATAGAGCTATAGATTCTGTTAAAATGTCAAATAGGTCAAGGACTATTAGATGCAAAATTGAAAGTTCAGAGATCTATTAAACACATTTTGAAGTTTAGGACTTATTAGACACAAACCTGTAAACTTGTAATTTAACCCATTAGACATCTAATGAATCCACAACAGTGACATTCAATCAAAATTAATCAATTATCAAATATCAAGTATTAAATTATTATATACATCTACCTTATCAACACCCTGCTTACAAGTATATACCAAAGCATCAGCAAGAGTAAGTCTGCCTTCAGCATCAGTGTTATTAACCTGAAAATTGGCAAAAATGAAGGTTAATAAATTGAAGATGTACTTTACCATGATTTGTAGTGAGAAAGCAGGTACCCACAAAAAAGTAAAAAGCTAATTCAGACAAGTTAGGAAAACTGACAGCAGCACTTTATGCTTCTTGAGAGCTGGTCACCATTATTACCATTTAGCATTATCATTATTATTACTTTATTAAATAGTTCGAGTTACATATTAAGATGATACGTTTTGTTTTTTGGTCCCTTTTTTTATAAGAAACAAAGCTTTCAAAATGGAAAAAATATATATATATATAAAAGGAAACTCCACGAAGAAAATGGCTCCAATTCAAAATAATAACACCTAATTGAAAATTACAAAAGGCCTTAGAAACCAATTCCTACAAAGAAGTATTAAATGTAATAAGATCTTAAACCTCCAACCCCAAAAAATTGTATTGTTTCTCTCCAGCCAAATATCCCAGAAAGTAACCACCAAGAAACAAGCCGACCACAAAAACCTTCCCCAATCTCGACATGGATGGGACAACAACAAACCTTCCAGACTTATTTTTCTGCTCATAAATATATAACAGTGAAATTCAGCTCAGCCACACAATTCGTGTCATCTAAATGACAAATTTGAAACTGAACACAAACAGAAATTATCACAATAGCATAGCCCAGAGATCCTTTTTTTGCGGTCAATCAACCAGATATACCTCAATCGTCTTTCCATTTGAAGCTGTGATAATATCCCCAGGTCTCATTCCAGTTCCACTTATCATGTTCTCACAGGCAGCAATAACAAAATGAACCTGTTTGGAAACAAGAATATAAGAAAACAAGCCATCAAACCTATTAGCATGATTAAGATCCTATTGGCATGGAAAGGGGTGAACATCTAGAATGTTTAACCTCCACTCCAAGAGGCTTGATTTGGCCAATGGCCTTTGCTGCACCAAGAACTGCCGCTGAACCTCCCATGTCAGTTTTCATAATTTCAATCGAACATCCGGGTCCTGTTTTAATGTTGTAGCCACCACTGGTGAAAGAAAAAAACATAGTTTCATTCAACCTGACTTACGGTCATAAATAAAACCTTATATCGAAATTAGGTTGTTTTATCGAAGTTATAAATACATCCATTTCTTGTTTCATTCAGCAACTGCTAATAAGAGTTGGCAATTTTACAGATGTATAATTACCTGTCGAAGGTCAATCCTTTCCCGACTAAACCCAATTTGACTGATACAGGTCCACTGGGCGGTTTGTAACGCAAGTGGATAAAATGGGGAGGATTTGTGGAGGCTGCAGCAACACCAAGATAGGAGCCCATATTCAATTCTTTGCATTGATCTTCATTTAAAATGGTTGCAGAAAGAACATCGCTGTAGCTTGATGCAATCTTTGTAGCCTCTTCTGCCAGTGCCCCTATCATGTGGATGTAGTTTAACAACGTCAGTACCATGCATGGTATCAATCATGAAATAAATGCTACGACATGCTAAATCAGTTCAAAACTCAAATATTTGCTGAAGGGTACAGATACAAAAATGTAAGAACTTACATTTCATGCCAATGGAAAACTGAAAAAAGCAGGTAATGCTATAGACAGACTTTAGAACTTAAAATTTAGGAGCGAACCTGGGGTAAGTACATTTGCAGGTGAGTTTACAAGTTCTCTTCCTAGAAGTACCCCAGAACTGACATTTTGGGCATACTTCAGCTTTTTATCCACTTCAGGTCCAGATCCAAGGCCAATAATTTCCACAGATTTAAGTGCAGACTTTTTGGACTCTGATTTATATCTATTGTCGTCAAATATCCCAAGTATAGTCCCTGCAATGTATTCAAACAACAGCAAAAGTTTAGTGTCAAATACAACATCAAACTGTCCACGTATTCATATACTAATATGAGACAAGTACCGGATGCAATGGCTGAGGCAATGTTAGGCTTAGATTCAGTAGAGTGCTCCCCCGCAGAGGCAAGAGATATAGCAACTTCCTTAGCTTGAGATGCTTTCGCTGCTGATGCAACAGCCTCACCTAAACCTCGAAAGGCTGATACAGTCAAAGCCGATTGCCCAAGGCCAATCAAACCAACCCTCTTAGTGCCAAGACCAAGAAGTTTCAGAACCGTTGATTGGCCAGCCTTCCCGGTGAAATCTTCCTCCGCAGAGGCTTCAGACAGCAATCCACCCAAGCGCGAATCCATCTTGTTCAAAATCGGATTCTTAAACTTGGAGTTTTCATCCTTCTCCACATCTTTCTCCGTCACTCCCACTGCAAGCAAGTCTCCTTTCCATTCCAAGACATCGATGTCTTTTGCCCCAAAAGATATCTTTGAGACATTTTTACAAACAGGTAACACACAATAAGTACTTCACGACAAACATGGGCACTTCAAAGCCTCCAAGAAACATTGTTCAAGAAAATACAAAGCCCACAATTGATTCAGACTTGGTTTGCAAATTCGATGTCATTTTCAACAATTACTACCGATCAAATTTAACTTGTAATAAAACACGATCTATAACGCAAAATAACAAACAAAGAAACCGAAGCAAATCGATCAAAATAGACTAGATCCTCGCAACCCACATTTCAAAAACCATAAAAAAAATAAATAAATAAAACCACAACTGATTCAGGCTTGAAAACCCAAAAAAACAAAGACCATCAAGAACAGATTTTGGTGTCCTACTGACCTGGGGGGGCTCACTCAGAGCAGGATTTGTGAGGCCCAGATTGGCCCGGGCCAGAGAGTGAGCCATGAACTTCCCTCTACGAGAACAGAAGGGAGCAAAAGCAAAAGAAACGCGAAGAGAGGCAGAGGAATAAGGGCGATAGAAATGGGTTAGTTTGGTGAGAATAAAGGAAGAAGAACGAAGGGAATACGAGACAGAAGAAGAAGAAGAAGACGCGAAGTTGGTGCCCAAAGATGCAACAATGGCGGCCATTTTTGGGTGTGTCAGCCTCCACTTATTTATAGTGAACCGTCAGAGCATCGATTCGCTAAAGGATTCAAAGCCAAAGGGATAAAATTCCAATTTCTATGATGGGTTTGGGTCTAATTGCTTGCCACCATCGCCATTGTTGTCTGAACCAATGAGATGGGCTCGCTCTTCCCTTCACTTTCCATATCTGTATACATTCCTTAGTTTATATCGTTTTCCAAAAAAATATCATCTATGTGATATAGCATGGGCTAAGGACATTTTTTATGACAAAAATATGTATAAACTATGTTCAGGTTGATCTTCATTTTTATATTCGACCAATTTACATATTCAACTAATCTATATTTCTATTGATCTTTCGTTTTAAAATCAAAATGTTGATATTTATATTCACTTTTTTTTTTCCTTTGTATTTGATATGTTTTTAAAATCCCCGAAGTAACTTACCAAACATTGAATGATTGGTGTCCTATGAATACAAAATAATTAATTTCATGTTTGCGTAGAACTGTGAAGTTCAAAACTACAATTTATATCAAGTTAAACTTAAGTTCGATAGATATAGATTAAGACATATATTTTCGACTAAAATGTTTTACACACCTTACAACTCCAATAATCATCTCTTTCAACAAAGTGTCACTGGTATCTTTCCTTCAAACATTTGCTATACGGACCAAATTGTGAGAACACCTTACGTCGATGATCACATTATCTCCTCTCCTTGAACAAAGGTACACCTTTATTCCTATCAGTCTATCTCAATTTGATAAGACATGTTTGACCACACCCTCATCTATTAGAAAAATAAAAAGAAATGAAAATTTAAAAATTTATTAGATACTTTTAAACTACCAAAATAAAAATCTGTTCTCTTGCTTTATTTTGTAAATAAAATAATAATAATCAGTGCAGAAGGAAAATATACTGGGGAATCAAATAACCTACTGTTCTAAAACATCTTTTTTTGACCCACTCATACTAATGAAATGTCGTGCTAGATGAAAAGACTATTATGTCCCTTTTCATTTTCTTTCTCCATCTCTTCTCCTATTTTTCAGTTTTCTTTCTCCCCTCCTATTTTTCGGTGCTTTCTTTCGATTTTTTGAGTTTTCAATTCAAAAAGATGGAAAAGGAAACAAATGAGAGTCGAAGTTGTTTTGACAAAGTCAGATGGATTTACGAATGAGGATTAAGATACTACTTTAATATCGGATTTTTTTTTTGGTTCATTGAAATTAAAAATGGGCATAAATCTCAAACTTGAATCCCGATAGAGATGGCATAAATCTTGATCCTTTTAAATTTGGGTTTGTTGAAATTAAATGACCATAAATCTCGAGTATGAATCTCGGATCGTGCAAACTCGCCTAAGTTTCCTTTTTATCTGGTTTCGTTTTTTTTTTCGAGGTAGGGTTGGTTGGAATCAAATGAACATAAGTCTTGGTCAGCATTCATGAAAATTCAGCTTGAGTTCGTTGACTAAAAAAAAAAGGTTGATAATCATCCACGGCAAGAATCGAACGCGAGTGCAAATGACCACAAACTTGCTTATGTTTTGGGATTTTTGCAATAAAACTTGGGCAACAACCTGGGCGAGGTTTTGTCTTCAATCCAATTTGCCACAAAACTCGAGCAAACTTTGTTCTGAGTTTTTAGATTTATGTAAAAAACTTGGGCAAACACACGGGCGAGTTTTTGTCCAAATTTTCATGTTCAATCCAACTTGCCACAAAATTCAAGCAAAACTTTGGATCAAAATTTTGGGCAAAACCCCAAACAGATTCGAAGAAAACATGCCCGAGATTTGTTCAGATTTTCATGTCAAGGGGGAGTTTTGTAAATCTCGTACAACGTCTTTTGATATATAAAATATTGGATATAGTTTTAATAACACTCTCCTTCATTTGTTGGTTTGGACGAGTAATAACTCATCGTTTATATTTCAGACTTCACAATTTTCATAAAAATAGGAGTAGTTTTGTACTTTCGCGTTTACCGACGTGTCAAAGTTCTCTTAGTAAAAAAAAAAAAAAGTCATTTTAGCGAACCGAAAACCTTTGATGAATGGTACTCACAACCTCTATCGTTGAGCTATGATTTATTTTCTTGGTTTTCCTGCCTTTTATATGTTTTTTAATAATTATTCAGTACAATCCAATAACCAACTTTTTATTATTTTTCTGGTGGGCTTTTGAAAATGTGTAGTTTCTTCGAGGATACGGTTTTTATCATAATAGAATAGTCTGCCAAATGGATGATTAAATAGGACACCATTCCAAATGCTGCAGCGGCCACAATTTGGACCTGTACAAGTTAAGCACATGAATTATGGTAAATTTAATGTTACATGAGTTTGAAAATTTACTTAAGGTCCTATAAGTGATAATTAGTATTAGACCGTTAATCAACTCAAAAGTTTAAGCAGATGAATTACAGCAAATTTAATCGATGACAGCCCATTCTGTCTCTCCTACCTAGTTCAAATGTTTTTATGTATTTTCTTCTGTCTGTTGTTAGGCACTACAAATTTAGTTGCTTCCTTTTTATTTCAATATGGGGATTAGTGATTATGCTCATAGGTGCAGCAATTTTTCAAACCAAGTATGAATGCCGTTGCAATATCAATATTGGGTGTAGTTGCAAGCTTTTTTCAAAGGAGAAAAAACAATTTTTTCTTCAACGAATGGCTTACGTAATTAGTGGAGTGGCTTACGTAATTAGTGGAGTGTTGATAAATGATTAAACTTGTTGTAACTCGTCAACTTAAGTTTTTGGGTTCAATAATGATTTAACATAGTGTTAAGTCAGTGCAACAGATCCTGTGTTCGAATTCTTGTAATGTCATTTCCTCCTTAATTGATATTGATAACCATTTATTGGGACTTGTCAAATTTTCAAATCCACGGATGCAGAGAAGTGTTGATAAACAATTAGAATTGCTATAACCTATAAGCTAGATAAACATCATATACCACTTGACCCTTGTGAACATCGCAATCAATACGGTATTGTTCGACTTTGATCAACTTTTGATTCATTATCTTTCCTACTAGACTTCTTTGCACGATGTTCCAAGACATTTTTCGGAATGGTGCGATCGACTTTATTGTTAATAAGATCTTTCATCCCCGTGACTGCTAAAAGAGATTCGAGATTCAACTACCAGAGTGGTGTTTTATAGACCTATTACCCTCACTACAACTACCTCTAAAGCCTTGGCTAAAGTGTTGGTTGAAAAGATGAAGGATGTTCTTTCCTTTACGATTTACGATCTCTTTTGCTCAAATGAGTTTTTTTTAGTGTTAAACATGTTAAATTACTAATGAACCAAAAAACTTAAACTAACAGATTAGGATAAATTGACAAAGAGAGGTGTAAACACTGAGGAGACACGAGATGAAAGAAAGTTGAGAGCTCTTAATAATTGCCAAGAATCTTTTACAGGAGTCTTTTATTGAAACTACATATACTTGACACAATTTTTATTCAGATTGATCTCACAATGCTGACAACCCTTGAAAACTCTTGGCATCCACCTTAAAGCTGTCAATAACGTCGAGGTCTGCCTCCTCTTCGAGTTTCGAATGCTTAAGCAGCATTCTTCAGAACCCACTCCACTAGTGTCGAGATGCCGAATCCTGTTGCAACACTCTTCTTGCTGTTCCAGACTGGACCAGCAATGTCAAGGTGCATCCATTGGACCTTCTCATCAACAAACTACAGAAACATATTTCCAAATTTTAGAGTTTTAATGGATAACCTCATATTCAGAGGCATAGTAGGTTTCTAGAGCTACTTAAGACATTATTTCCTTCGTAAAAATATAAAGGCTAAACTAAGTTATGAGTATAATCCGAGAACTTTAAAAGGTATCTAATAAATTCCTTAACTTTCAATTTCGTGTCTCATAGATCTTCAAACTTTTAATTTTGTGTCTAATAGACCCTTGATTTATTCAATATTTTTTAAAACTTAACAGATTTATTAGGCACAAGATTTCAATTTTCTGTTTAATATACGTTCATGAGTTTTAAAAAATGTCTAATTAATTAGGGACCTATTGGACACAAAATTAGAAGTTGAGGAACCTATCAGACACTTTTAAAGTTCAGATTCTGTTAGACACAATTGAAAATACATAGACCTATCAGACAAACTCAACCCCGAAAAAGTTCATGGACTAGAACTTGTAATTTAACCGAACATAAACTTTTCCTTTTCTAGAAGGTGAACAAAGAAGATGATATCCACCTGTTTCAAAAACAGAGCAGCTGTAATAGCACCACCTTGACCAGGACCTGTGTTGATCATATCAGCCACCCCTGACTTCATTGATTCCCAATAACTTTCCTCCAATGGCAGCCTCCATATTTTCTCACCACTGCTCTCTGCTGCAGCAAATACCTCTTTTGCTAGGTCTTCATTGGGTGTAAAGGCACCTGGAAACAAAAAATGAAGTTTGTAACAATCCCATTCTTCTGTAGTCTCCAATTTTTCAGTTGGGTTTCGATACGTAATTGTCCTCTTTCTCATTCATTCTTGTGTTCTAACTTTGACAGGAAACCACCCACCATTCCAAGAGAGGGAGAAGAAAGAAAAGGTTTCACAATCAAAGTGTCTCTAACATTAACATTTTGATCACACAATGTAGCATTATTTAGAACTCTTATGTTCTACCTGACCTTTGATCCAATGTTATTAACAACTCACAAGAAACCCAATTTTATGTTCTTATTTTTCAAATTGAGATTATCATACCTGCAACTGAAGGCCCAAGAGCAGTTATACAAGCACCAGTTAGAGTAGCCAGGTCAATAATCTGCAGAGCAATTTGATGATGTTGCATTAGACCCAATTCCCAAAACTATTAGCAATGACATATCTTTTCAAACATCTAACTTATTTCTATATCTACCTTGTCAACGCCCTGATTACAAGTGTATATCAAAGCATCAGCAAGACAAAGTCTGCCTTCAGCATCAGTGTTGTTAACCTGAAAATTGGCCACAGTGAAAGATAATAATTTGAATATGTACTTTACTATGATTTGTAATGGAAGGGGAAAGAAGAGAGAAAAATTCTGTTTAAAATGAAATCCTATTTTCTTCTTAGACTTTGACAACACAAAGCAGGTATAGAGATTAACTGCTGTCAATGTTGGCTAAGTTGACAGGAGCAATTTATGCTTCTCGAGATCTCATTATCAATGATGACTTTTGAAAAAAATACATTTAAAAAAGGCACTAATTAAGTGCTTCATCTAAAACACTTTAAGAGTGTTTCTTAAAGTATTTTTGAAAACTTTGAATTATCTAATCAAGTACCACTAAAATTTTAAAAATAATTTTACCAATTTAATCTAAACTCACTGTTATTGCCATTGTTACTGTTACTATTATATCATTCAAGAGTTTTATATTAAGATTGTAAGTAGAATATTTTTGTTTATGCAGCAAGACTTTTTATACCCATCCCCTTGGAATCAGATATATAACAGTGAAACTCTGCTCAGCCACACACTTCTTGTCATCCAAGTGACAACTATTTTAGGACCAAACTCAACAAAAACATAATTTTCACAATGATAAATTATCATTGATAATAACCCAAAGATCCTTTTTCTGGGTCAATGAATTAAAGAAGATTTTTTCTTTTTGATATCCGTGAGTGTTCAGGCCAGCTTGCGCCCACCTCGACTAATCTCATAGGGCAACCGTCTGACCCTACAACATTTGGTGCCGGAAAACACATAGGAATTATTACTTCCTAAAGTAGGTGACCATTATGGAGTTTTAACTTATTCCCTTTCAATTAACCCTGGTCTCTTTGGACTAATGAGTCGCCGAGGATGGTTAATGAACCAAAGAAGATATACCTCAATTGTCTTTCCATTTGAAGCTGTGACAATATCCCCAGGTCTCATGCCAGTTGCACTTATCATGTTCTCACAGGCAGCAACAACAAAATGAATCTGTTTAGGGACAAGAAAACAAGAAAACAAGCCCCCATTAAACCTATTAGCACAATTAAGATTCCTAATGACATGGAAAGGAGTGAAAAAATCTAGTGTTTACCTCTACATCAAGAGGCTTAATTTCACCAATGGCTTTTGCTGCTCCAAGAAGTGCTGCTGCACCTCCCATATCATTTTTCATATTTTCAATGTTACTGTTGGCTCCTGTTTTAAGGTTGTAGCCACCACTAATGGAAAGGGGAAAACAGAGAGTTATTCAACCATGTGTGTTGAAATTAGAACCAACCATATCTCACGAGACAGATAATATCACTAGCATGTGCAAGGGAAACATAAATCAAACACTAGATAAGTACTAAATATCACGGCAGCAGAGCCAGAAGATGAGAGATATGCTATTGCATGAATACTATAAATAAAATCTTTTATTGACTTAGGGTGTGCTTGGAGTATTTTTAGCAAAAGTGCTTTAATTATAAACACTTTTATAGAAGTGTTGAATAACAAATCACTTTAATGTTTGGTTCAACACTCTTAAAAAACTTTTCAGGCGGTTCTTAGTCTAGTTTTAGGTGTTTTTTGGGTCAGAAACATGATAGAACCTGAATAGAAATATAACAAAAAATAAGGACTACAATAGTTACCAAGTTATTCGAGGTACTTGGACCCTCCCTCTCTTGAGTATTCTTACTCAAGCTTAAACTATATTCACTAATTGCCTACCTTCATCTTTAACCGACTACTGTATTTATAACCAAATCCCCAATCCAATTACTAATATACCCTTGATATCCTAATACTAATCCTATCAAAACACTTTTATGTTACTCCTAGACATAATGGTTGAGTGAAAAGTGCTCTAAGCCAGGACATAAGTACTTTTAACCATGTCAAAAACACTCTCAAACATATATATATATGTCCATTCTTGTTTTGTTTAGCATTTGCAAAAGAAAGTTAAGCATTTTGGTAGGTGTATAATCACCTGTCAAAGGTTATTCCTTTACCAACTAAACCCAATTTGATTGCCGCAGGCCTACCAGGAGGTTTGTAAATCAAGTGAATAAAGTGGGGAGGATTTGCGGTGGCTGCTGCAGCAATGCCAAGATAGGACCCCATCTTCAATTCTATGATTTCCCCTTCATTGTAAATGTTTGCAGAAAGAACATCGCTGTGCACTGAGGTAATCTTTAAAGCCTCTAGTGCCAATTCCCCTAACATGTGGATGTAATTTAGCAAAATCAGTACACCATGTATTATTACAATCATGAAATAAATGCTATGACATGTTACAAAAATGTAAGAACTTCCCTTTCATGGCAGTGGAAAATTGAAAAATGCCGATGGTTCCATAGTCCACTAGCAAGAAAGTAAATGACAAACTTTAGAACATAAAATTTAGGAGCGAACCTGGGGTAAGTATATTTGCAGGTGAATTTACAAGTTCTCTTCCAAAAACTATCGCAGAACTGACACTTTGTGCATATTTCAGCTTTTTGTCCAGTACAGGTCCAAATCCAAGACCAAGAATATCCGCAGATTGAAGTACAGTCCTTTTGGGCTCTGATCTGTATCTGTTGTCGTCAAATACTCCAAGTACAATCCCTGTGATGTAGAGAAAAATTTTAGTTCTCCAATACACCAACAAAACTGTGCAGTATACACTTATCAATGTGGCATGTGGTGTGTTTGGAGCAAAAATGTTTAATAACTAGAACTGGGTGAGTTGGGTAGGTGATCAGAAAAGAGGAAATTGTTGAAGAAAGAACAAGATGTTTCTTTTTCTCTTCCGAGCATCGTAAAATAAAGAAATAGTTAAAATATTCAAGATAATTACGTATTTACAGAATACCGTCTCAATTCATCCTATTTCATCAAATCTGGGATGTGATATGGTTCCGAATAATACATTGTATATGGACAGTTCCAATAAGATTTAATTCTTGAATAAAAATCTATTTTTTTTTATTTCATCTATTCCATGTTCGGAACAGGAGGAGATACACATTACACCATGAAGAGAGACTAAATTGCAGAAAATAGAAATCTGAAAACAAGGTTATATTCTTTATTTTCAGATATGTGTTTGGTAGTAAATTTGAAAATTGAATATCAATTTAAAAAGTTGTTCATCGTGTTCAGCAATATATTTGTAACTAGTAGTAGTTACCAACTAAATATTACAAAAATGAAATGAGTTTATACCATGAAATAATATATTTATCAAAATTTTATTATTTTTTTCCTAAAACGTAATTCTACATTTTAAAGTTTTAAAATTCAAAACCTGAAAATTCTGAAAGCATAAAAACGTTGTTTTTTGAATTTTTACTGTTTGGATTAGAGAATCCGGAAAAACAGTTTTAAAAAACAAATCTTGATTCAAGGAAGAAACGTAAGTCGGACAGAACCAAACGGGCCCTAATAACTTTTATATTTAGCTCTATACTCTTAAAAGTCTTGGGACAAAACCATTCTACAAGCACTTTCCTTTAGATTGCTTCTAACTTTTTAGATACGAGGATTGTGAGTGAGAAGTACTTTTTTGTCATGCCAAAGCACTCCTAAACATAGCTTAAAGATTAGAACATGTACCAATTGCAATGGCCGAGGCAACGTTAGGCTTCGACTCGGGCACAAGGCTCTCGGAAAAGGCAAGAGATACAGCAACTGAACTTGCTCGAGATGCCTTTGCTGCTGCTGCAATGGCCTCACCTAGACCTTGAATGGCTGCAACAGTAGAAGCTGACTGTCCAAGGCCAAATAAACCAACCCTCTTAGAGGCAAGACCAGAAACTCTTAGAACAAGAGATTGGCCAGATTTTCCAGAGAAATCTTCCTCTGCACAAGCTTCAGCCAGCAGCCCATTCAACCTTGCATCCAACCTGTACAAAAGTGGATTCTCGAAGATGGAGTTTTCATCCTTGGCCACATCTTCCTGTGTCACGCCCACAGCTAGTAGGTCTCCATTCCATTCCAACTCATCCAGGTGTTTTGCATCAAATTTTATCTTTGAGACATTTTTACAAACAGGTAGCATGCATGCACCGTTAGTACTTCATGGCAAACGATACGTGGACCCCAAAGAATAGAAACTAAATTTGAGAAGATAGAATGCATGACTGGTTCAGATTTTGAGTGGGTTTTTAGTTGATGGAAAGTAGTTCTCAGAATTTTTGTGGTGTTTGGATACATAATTAGAAGTGGTTTTGAATTTCTTGGAATACTTAAAAGTATTTAAGTTAATTATTGAAGTATTCCAAGTTAATTTTTGTCTGCMGTGTAATAGATAGGGTGAATGATCGAACTTACAACCACTTAATTGTAGGTATATGTCAATTACCTAGAGTTAGGTTCACTTTTGCATATTTAAATTAGTTTTAACTGCTTAAAAGTACTAATACAAGCATAACTTAGTGGTAATTAGTATATATTTTTAATTAAGAAGTGGTGAGTTGGATTGCCACTCCATACATGTTGTACTAAAAAAAATGTTTTAAAAGTGCAAAAATAACTTAATTAGTGATTTTTAAAGAATTTCTTGAAAAATTATTTTAGAATGAGTACTTTTAGCGAAAGAGATTTAATGACAAGTAATTTTGTAAAAGTAATTTTTATATAATTATTTTAATGTTGGATTACAAACCCTTTTAAAATTATTTTCATATAGTTAAATTTTATTTTTGAATTTATATATAAATATATATATATATAGTACATTAATTTTTGAATGATTGAGCTCAAAAGTGATTTTAAAATCACCAAATTAATTACATATATTTGAAAAACTATTCGACGCCATTTATTAAATAATTATGGTGAAAAGAGTATGATATTTGCTCAATTTAGTAGGTAAGACATCTTGCTCCTTCTATACGGATTGGAGGTTCTAAAAAGACAAATTTGAAATTTAAAATAATTACCCTTTTAAAAACTAATTTCCTTTTTTCTTAACCAAAAACCACTTGGAAAATCACATTTAAAGTGATTGGTGGAGAATCTTTTAAAATGATTTTGAATTTTTCCAAAATTACTTATAAACTATTAAAGAACATGTCTATAGTAAAATTGAAGTAATCTTGATATTAGTTGATATTAGTGGAAGTGATTTTAGCCATTTCTTGAAATTTGTTTGACATAGCTTCTCTAAGAGCCTAAAATTAATTTTTAAGAAAAGAATTAAGTTTCTTATGTAACATATTTTCTAACTTAAAAGTAATTGAAAAGAAATCAAATTAACTTAAAAACACCTCTCTAAATATACTTTGAAAGTTGATTCTAAAAAAAGAGACCGACTCGAAATCACTTTCAAAACCTGCTCTATTGTACTTGGACGAACAATCATGAGAATAAAAAAAAATGTAACTAAACAAATAAAGACATCTGTGACTTTTTCTATAGGTCAAATATTCTAATTTCTACCCCGCAATTATAATACTATGTATATATTATCAACTAAAAAGAAAAAACTACAAGAAACTTATCCATATTTTTAACAATATTATATAATGTCGTTCATTTTAAGTCTTCTCAATACACATAATTTTACTTTTTAAAAATTTTCAATACAGATGTCGTCTTTACTTAAACACCCAACAATATCTTCTCCACCACGGTCAACATACAATTATGTTCACATCCCCGACAAGCAAGACTTTCAACATTAAAAAGCCGTAAAAAAGTCCAACAAGACCTTCAAAAAAAAAGTCACTCCGGCTAAAAAGTTGTGGGTTTCGAATTCTCATTTTCACGTGTTGTTGTAAAAAAAACGGCGGTAGCGAAAGAAAGCCCAAAAACACATGAAGGGACATTAGAAATTTGTAAAATGTGGTACAAACCTTGGGGGCATTGCTTGGCCCAGGGCGAGTGAGGCCAAGAGTAGTGGCCAGAGGAACTATATGAGCCATTAACAAGAACACACAAGAAAATGAAGAACGATAATTAGAAAAAAAAATGGCTAAGTTTTGAAAGAAGAATAAAAAGTGGAAAACGTGGTGATTTGGGTGTGAGAGAGCCTCCACTTATTTATAATGAGCCCTCACCAAAGAGGAAGAGATGGGATTGAGTGATCAAATTGAACAGAAATTTTGGTATATTATTTATTACTTGTTTTATTCACATGTTTTGAATAAAAAATCGTACGTAGTTATTATTGGTTCTCCACCAATCTTTCTTTCTTTGTCTTTTTGGAGTTTTGTTTTTGTTCCTTATTCATCTCTTTAGATGCAAATTTCATTTATTGTGTGGGGGGAGAAAAAGATAAAGTTGGAGAGATGAACCGTCAGCGAGAGGAGAAGTTTTAGAGAGTTACGAACGAAAATTTTAGAGAGGAAGATAAAAAGTTGAAAGAGATACGATGTTTTAGAGGGTATTGAGCGAAAATTTTAGAGAGGAAAAAGTTGTAAGGGGATAGGACTTGGAGATAAGTTAGGAGTGAAAATTCGAGAGAGAAGAAAAATTAGATAAGAACTTTAGAAAGAAAATTTGTGTTTTTGACTAAGGGAAGATTATGGATATATAAGTGAGAGACAACATTCATATTAGTACGAGGTTTTATAGTACACTTCTACATATTTTGACTAAACTTCTACATATTTGGACTTTAATGATGGGTAGGATGATCGATATTTTTTGAGCGTCTTTGTTTTCCTTCAAAGCATGTCACTTTTAATCATTATTTTGTTACTAATAAACTAGTAAATGTAGATTCAGATATATTGTGTATTAACATACCGACATAGACATATGCTAGAGCGACATAAATTAAATTAGTTAAGACGAGTATTGGGTGGACAAATGTTACATGGAAAAATAAAAGAAATGACTAAAATTGTTATTTTTAAAAAAATCCAATGATTAAAATAGACTTTAGTTAGAAACTCAAATAGAATAAACTTAAGAGTACATGATTTGAACATTTTTTTAATATCAAAATTGGGGAAATGTAGGATGGGAGATCGAATCTTCAACTTCAACGAAAGTGATAAGTGTTATGAGTGAAACTACCTTACTAGGTTCATCCCTAAAGTGAGGCCAATAAAGAAATGTGAGTCAAACAACTCGAGTTGCACCACCCACTGACCGAGTTGATTTAATCGCTCGAACTAGCTAAAGGAAAATCATTATATTTAAGTAATAAGAGAGACCTAGAATGCAAGGTACGTCTGACATAATCGTAATCTTTGCTATTCTCATTTGAATCGTTTTTCTAGCTTAGGCATCAAAATATATTGGATTTAGCATTATATTAATGTGGTGTAGATCTTTTTTATGTGTATGTGTTTCTCAGAGTATTCGATATCGAAGTCTAGATTAAAATCATGTATTAGTATGAACGATTAAGATAAATTCACCCATAGTCATGAATATGTAAAGTTAGGGATAAAAAGTAAATATATAAAAGTGGACCACATAGCCATTAAGTAAAACGAAAATATTGTGAAAAGAACAAAACAGCAGGGTTGAGATTCTTCCCTATCTTGATCATAGTGTCATGGGACCAAATTTAACGAGCACGATTTTTAATTCGGTCAATTGGAGTGGATAGCAAAAATCTTTTATGTACTTCAAAATATGTCACATGTTTTTTCAAATTTTCAAATATAGCAAAAATTTTCACTTATATTAAATAGTATGTATACCAGATACTCATATCAGTAATATATCAGACACTTATATCTGTAGTATATTAGATGTATATCACATATATATTGCACAAACACTCGTATCAATAATATATCATATGTAAATCACATACACATTGCAAGTATATCAGACACTCATATTAGTAGTATATTAAATGTATATCACATACATATATCAGTTAGATATATTACAAATATATTAAATATCATTTGAATAAAGTTGTCATTTTAAAATTAGACCTTTGTTTTTTTTATTTTTAAAAAAGTATTATATTTGAAAAAACTAAATGCAGTTGTTATTTTACTAATTTTACTAAATGTTTTTGACATATTTGTAATTATCATTTAATTTGTATATGGCTAAAAAGAACAATAATTGATGAGAGAAGCAATTTCTCAATAAAAAGAAATGAAAAAATAATTTTTGTTTATGAGAGAAGAAAATTTGAAAATGGTCCGACCTAACCACGTGAAAGACCTATTTGTTTTATGGGCTGTTTTGTTTCTCATGTTCATATTTTGATCATTTTTTTTAATCGATGTTCGTATTTTGATCCTTGAAGTTTGAAGATTCTATTTGATCGTTATAGTCTAGACTTAATTTTATTTTATATGGTATGATTTTAGAAATTTTAATTTGGTTCTTACATGTGGTTTTATTAAACTTTAGAAATGATTCTTAAACTATTTCAAAAATAAAAAAAAAAGTTTTTTATTTGTCCTAAAACCAACCCCTCTCTCCATCTTAAAATATTATCTCGTCCCGTATCGTGTCACACATTTAATATGGTAATAATAAGGATGTTTTTAAGATTTAAACTGAACCATGAAAGTCGTGGAAAGTAGCAACTCGTTGTCACGTAGATAATAAAAAAAAAACATGTTATGTATTTAGTATAATAACAATGTTGATGACTTGGGTAAATTTTTGAAATTATAGAGGTCGAATTGAAACTAAGCTCAAACTATATAGTCTAATTTATAATTTAACCAAATTAATTTATTAACTTTTATTTTTGGCCAAAAATCGACTGGAATTCACCCACTTACCCTACTTAAAAAACAACTTTTTTTTAGCTATGTTCTAACACGTGTTAATTTTGTAGTTATTAAATTTAAAATAATTTTTGGAGTTAATGTTACCATTTTCAAAATTGTGGAATTCAAAACTTTGGGTTGAGTTGTAATTATCAATAATCATTATTAATTGTATTATCATTTTAATAAATTATTTTGTCTGAACTTCAGTTCTTAATTAAGTTGGTTACAATTAACTCAATATTATATTTAGATTGGTTGGAGGCGGTGACATCCCACGTGGAGGATGGAGGGATGTACAGGACAGCAGGCCTGTCCTGAGTGATCATTTTCTCTCGTCGGAACAACCTTCAACACTTAATAAGATATTAGATAGGAAAACATCGAAATCGGGTTGAGGTCTACCTATTCAAGTCGTATTCGCCCAACAGATTGATCACTTTCGACTCGATATTCCCAATCATCGGTCGGATACCCAAACATATTTCACTCTTTAGTCAGGTATGACATTCTAACTTGATTTCTTTACTAAGGTTGAACTAAAACTGACTTGAATGTTTATTTCTTGTTGTAGCTATCTCCTTGTCAAGCAACTTTCTAACTCTTTTGGACATCCTAGCTCTTCCCATCAGTATATTTGTTGAAAAAAAAGTTTGATATTTTGAATTAATAGTTTAATTTGAAATAACATTTGAGTTTCTTGAAATTACCATGTTGATATTCGTTCCACGTTTATATTCGAATCAAATTTGAAATGTGCTCTTATAACTTGTAAGGTATAAATTCTTTTATATTAAATAATTTAGACGTTGGGTTTCAATTTCAATCTTCTATTTTTAAAGTTATAATTGAGTCAATTTTTAATATATTTCTAAATTTCTTTTTCTAAAAATACATATGAATTCGTAATTTTAATCAAATTTAACTAAATTAAAAAGTAAAAACAAAAAATTAAAACTAGTTGTTTTTTTCATGAAATTTGATATATATATATATATATATATATATATATATATTAAACAAACAGAAACGAGGAAACGAACTACATCGATGAAGGAATTTGCGAACAAATTTGATTTAGATTTCAAAAACATTTATTAAAAGTGGAAAACAAAATAAAAAATAAAACAAATATAGAAGTAGTATTTATAAATTTAATTTTTAAATAAAAGTAAGAAACAATATAATCATCAAATTGGGTTTTAATTAAATTTGCCTTTCGCTCTTCAGAAAAAATAAAGAAAATATAAAAATAATTTGCCTTTCGTTTTCTCCATTATCCCATGCTTTTTTCTTTGTTTTTTGTTTTATATAAAAATCTTATGCCTTTTGTTTTATTGTTGGTGAGTTTTATGATAGATTATCATCATCACATCACGTGGACTTCTTATTTTTTCCTTTGAGTTCACGTGTGGATTTATTTGACAGCTCACTTTTAAATGATTGGTCTCGATAATATTTTTATCTTCTGCCCCTTTAATTAATTTCAGTTTATTTTAGTGCATCTATTTTTAATGGTCCATTTTAGTCTTTATACCTTTAATTTGTATTCATTTTAATCCTACTTTCTAATATTTATTTTATTTTAAAAAAGTAACTATTAGTCTCTATTTACAAAATTTTAACCTAAATTTTATATTTAATGAAAAAATTTTAATATAAATTTATAACTACATTTCAAGAAATTTAGTGAGTGTGAAGAATCAAACAAAATGATCACTTTTAAAAAATAGGACCAAAATGAATGTTAGGAATTAAAATAAATCAAAGTTGAAAGTACGTAGACCAAATAAACGTTTTTAAAAATATATAAAGATCAAAATGAACCAAATTGAAAATATAGAGATCAAAATAGTATTTAAATTTAGGTTAAAGTTTGTAATGATTAAGTCTCTGGATTTTTTTGTTAAGCTTCTTATATAAAACGATAAGAGTCTAAGATATATTTATAAATTACAAAAGCTAAATTGTTATACGATAAAAATTGACATTTAATTTTGATAATATTTTTTAAATTGAAAAAAGAAATTTTAACTAAGGAGATTATACAGTTATATACTAAAATTCAAGAACAAAATTGTTACCCATTTAAAAAATTCAAAAACTAAATCTATCATCTTAGTAAACGTACAAAAGATCAAATGTATTTTTTAACTTTAAATTTAAATTATTCATTGCCCCGACTCATCATCTAGGTTGCTCAATCCATAGTCATAAATTTCTTATTAATTAGCCTTGTTTTTATCATCATTTACAGATTGTGGTCATATAGCTAAGTGATAATGATAGTCATTCAGCATAATACAATTATTTAAGGCACAATTTATCAAAGAGAATTATTGTAAAATTTCGAAAGTGCAAATAAAAACTTGTTTATTTCGAACAAAATGCATTCACGATCAAAGAGTTGGTTGTGGTTCAAATCTTCGTGAATGAAATTTCTTAAGTTAGGCACGAGTCAATATTTATAAATTAATTAACAATATTTACCAATATATTTTAGATATTAAAATATTTAATTGATGACTACTATAGTTTACAAATATATTACTAAACACAACTTAGAAGATTCAATTTTTAAATTTGTTACCGAATATATATTAAAAAATATTGAAAATATGAAATATAACTCTATTTTTTATTGAATTTAAAAATGTTAATTTTTCGGATTTTTATTTCCACAGCATCAATCAAAATAGCTAGTTTATTTTCATGAGCTATAATAATACGAAAGCCGACAAAACTATTTTTATTGCAAGATTTTTTTGCAATGCTACGCACGTGGTTTTTATTTCAAGATTTTTTTTGAGATCAAGATTTTTTTTTTCTTTTTTCTTTGGAGATTCAGAATTTTTTTAAATTTAATAATATAATCACGAAGGTATATATGTGTACATATATATATATATATATTTTTCTTTTTCAAAGATGGTGGAATAATTTGGCATCTTCGTTATTTGGAATTAATGTTACTATATTTGATTATAGGTCAACTGGTTAAGCTACCTACCTATAAATTTAAAATTTAAAAAACATTACATATGGTATTATTTCTTGTTTCAGCCTCCATTGGACCACCAGGTCAACCTAAGATGCTCGTTCCCATCCACGTAAGGGCATAGCCCTCACGGCTTTGCTTTTGGTTTCACCCAAAAGGCCTCATACTAATGGAGATAATTGTTCTCTCTTATATATCCATGATCATTCCCTTCCCTAGCCAATGTGAGACTTTGTTTGCAATCACCTTACAAACCAACATAATTTTCATAGGTTCAATTGAAACAGAAATTAAAAATTTAAAGCTCATTTTAGTTCATAGCTTTCAAGATTTTTCAATTTTTTATCTTTTAACTTTTAGAAAATATGTATTTTTGTCCTAAATTTTAAGTTTATTCCATTTTGTTCGTCATTTTGGTTCTCTCTATTATTTTGTGGTTAATTGTTTAATTAATGGTTAAAATATTTTTTTGACATGTGTATTAATGTACTGTAGTGAGCATGTATTAGAGACACACAAGTTGGTTGAGGTCGATATTAGGCGTGAGCTAATATTATATGGTAAAATAATAGTAATGACCAAAATGATTTTTTTTTCAAGTTCACATATTGACATTTTAAAAAGTTCAAAAATCAAAATAATTATTTTAGATCTATTTTAAAAATTAAGGACCAAAATAGAATAAACTTTGAAAATTCATGTACAAACGTGAAGTTTAAACTTTGTGAAAAAATAAACAAATAAAATTTAAACCAAAAGTCGAATAATTTTTTTTAATAATAAAGTCAAATAAGTTGGTAGCATCTTAATTAATTTTGTTTTAGTACATAGTATCTTTATTAATTGAGTTATACTTAGGATTTAACTTGCATCTTGAGTATGTATCAATGAGGCCATTATTTTTATTGTTTTTAATTGGAAAATAAGTAATTATAAATAATATTCCTCTTTCTTTGGTTGGTTGGTCCGGCTATAAAAGCTTATATTTTAAGTTAAAATTTAGGGGAGGAAACACTCATGTAAATTATGTATTGTTTTTAATCTTTAATTTAATAATGATATGAAATTATTTTTTATTAACGTATAATCTTTAATTTGATAATGATATGAAATTATTTTTTATTAACGTATCAAACTTCACGATGACTACTTATCTTAAGAATTAATAATTTCTATATATTTTCCGACACCAAATATTGTAGGATTAGGTGGTTGCTCCATAAAATTAGTATTGGTACATGCAAACTGGTTTAGATATTCCCACATATAAAATAAAAAACTTTTATTAACTATGAATACAAACTTTTTATCAATATAATTAAAACAAAGTTCAATTTAAATATAAGATAAATGTAGAGTTGTGGAATCCATTTCCCATCTCCATTCCCAAAATAAAATCATAGAAAAAGAAATCCAACCCCAATCGAATTGGGAATCATATTTCTAAAAAATTATAAAAATAAACATATTTACAAAAAATAATTAAATTAACCCATAAACCTTTTATTATTATTATTATTTTTGGGTAAGTTAAAATTCTTGTTAGTAATATTACATGCACATTAGTGATATTTTTTGTACTCGGTCGTTTGTTTTGCAATATAATAAAAACATCATTCTGACCGAAATTTAAAATTTTGTTTGAAAAAAATTGCCAACTAACATGCTCGACACCTTCTTGGACTTTGGGCTTTGGGCTTCTGTCCATTCATTTTGGGCCTTTTTTCTCTTCAATAATTCATTTTGGGCCTTTTTTCTCTTCAATAATTCATTTTGGGCTTGGTATGCACTCCACTTCTCAACAGAGGAGAAACTTTTGATGCCCATTTTGCCATTCTTTTCATCCATTATTTACATTTATAGCGCCACTCGTCACAGTAGAAGAAGAAGAGAAGAACAGGAAGAAGAAGAGGAAGAGGAGGAAGAAGAGGAAGCCTTCAATCGGGAAAAATGGTGGCTTCTAATCTAAAATCGGAGACAATGGATCTGATGCAGAAGAGGAGCGCTATCGAGGCGCAGATGGATGCCATCATTTCGCGTCTTTGTCAGCCTGGCGGTCCTGGACTCTCTGGGAATCTCGTCGACTCTGAGGTGATTGCAATGGATTCTTTCCTCCTACTTATCTTTTCATCTCAAAGTTCTTCTTGGTTTTTGTTCGTTATAGTGATCTACTGGGACTGATGAAAGAAATTTATTGCAATTTCTCTATTTTTGCTGTTTTGCTGATTAGGCTACTTTTCTTCCAACTTTTTTCTTTTCTGGGCGGACAATTTTGCGCATGAGATGAGATTTTTAATTTCTTTGCTTAATTGTGCTTAGAAGGGTGTCTGAAAACTTTTTCATGCAAAAATTTATGGGATATTAAGCTTGGAAAAAAATTTTGGACTTCGTTTGCACCGCAAAAATACAGTCGAAATTTGTTTTGCTGTGAAGTGGATAATAGTTTTAGTAAACCTGAGTCCAGAAGAAGCTTGATCATTGCGGTTCCTTGATGAGAATTCGAATG